GCAAGAGCCACCCTCATTCGCCAGCCACCACTAAAATCCTTCAGCTTCTTCCTCTGCATGGCTGGCGTGAACCCCAAGCCGTGAAGGATACGAGAGGCCCGTGCTTCTGCCTTGTCAGCATCCAGCTCCTCCAGGCGTTCATATAACTCCAAGAGTTTCTCACACTCCGCTGAAAGAGAGCCTGCCTGTCAGCACTTCTACCAACAAACGCCTCTCAGCTGCACCTCTGTACAGCAGGGAAAGCTCACAGTTCATCTGCTTTACCACTATCCAGTCCCCTCTATTCCCAAGCCTGAGACACTTCTTAGTTGCATGGAAAAATTTCATCCAAAGAAGTGTAATCCCACAGGACTTTTCAACTAGTACAGGGCAGCTGGGGGAAAAGGGTACCACAACATGTAAAAACTCTGCCAAGGAACCCAAGTAAGAGCTGTTCTTTAGTGGGAAGAGAAATGGAGGAAATGTCCCTTGTCCACAAGGACTGTGAGCAGTTTTACCATCTTCATGAGCCAGACGTTCTGCCTCTCGCTCCAGCATGGCCCTCTCCGTGTCCACCTCCATCACACACTGCAGGGGGGTCTTGTCACTGGGAGGCATCTCTCGGGTCAGGTGGTAGATGTCAATGTGCTCTGGGATGGGCACTTCCCGCTTCCCAATGGCTGACAGGAGCATGGATTTCCCTGTGTGCAGACAGACACTCCACAATCACTTGTTGGATTCAGTGAGATACAATGTCACAGAGAAAGGGGTGAGATGCAGTCAGATCCCATTGATTCCCTTCCTTTCCAACCCCTTAGAAATTTCTTGCCTAAGAGGTCAGAACCGGAGACACAGCAGAGCCTCCTGCCTCACTGTGACAGGCCGCTCTCCAACCCACATTCTGCACCTCTCCATGGATTTTCCAGAGACTGTACAATTGTTTCCCCACTGAGGCCAAACCCAATTCCCTTCTCCTCTAAACTGTGCAAGTTCTTTGTCCAATAGCACCAGCAGTGGGTTTATTGAAACTGCTAAATAAATCCTGCAAACAGGAATCAGAGCCACAGATCCCAGGCATCTCACCCAAACACACAGACCAAAGCTAGAAAGCAACCTCAGACTTCTACCAGCAATCCTAACAATTCCTCTTTCTGGGTGTGGAGATGAGAGAAACAAAAGTGCCATGTCCCAGCCAGGTCTGTTTAACAGCCACCTTTCTGGTTTCCAGCATTTACTCCCTGCATCTGCCCAGCTTCTCAGCAGCACAGGATCTCCACCCAGCTCCAGGAAGCCCCTGCTTACCGATCCCGTTGAGTCCAATCAGGCCATAGCGTCTCCCGGAGTTCAGCTCCAGTTTTGTGTCACTCAGCAGCTCCTGCCCGTGGAAGGTCAGCGAGAGGTTGATGATGTGCACGTCAGTGCTGTTGGGGTGGGAGGCCAGCACTCCTGTCACAGCACGAGCCGCAGCTTTCTTTAACTCAAAGTCCTCCAGCTCCTTTGTGAGAGCATCCACCTCTGTGTGCAGAGACAGACCAGACATGTCCGTGATTTGCAAGCACAAAGGAAACCCTGAGCCCCTGTCCCAAGAGGCCAGGCCCACAGAAACAACTCCTGTGTCCCCATTTCTACAGAAATGTTGAGGAGGCCCAGATGCAACAATAGATGGATACATATGGTCTAACAAGAACTTTGATCTGCTCTCTAAACAAAATATAACGAATATGACTGAGTAGCCAGAACAAGAGACTTATCCAGGTATGATGGGAGCAACCTTCACTGCAGGAAGGACTGGGGTGGGAAGAGAATGTACCGAGTATTGCTTGAAAGCTTAAGGAAAGGGTTGGTCAAAAGAAAACTTAGCTAGAAAATAAAATGAATGAAAGTTGAGAGGAAGAAAGCACCAGCATTGGAATAGGCCCTACCAATTTTTTGAGAAGCTAGTATGTCCATGGGCATAGATCCCTCTTCCCTTTCTCCTATCACATTGGGAAATCTTTCCTGTTGTACTGATTCTCTGCTGCAGCCCAGAGTTACAGCCCAATTTTCACTCCTTGGTGAGACACTGCCATTTGAGGAAAATGGCACTGGGGACGTCAATAATAATGCAGCTGCTCAGAGCAAAAACCTGGTGTTCAGACTGTTCATGTTCAGGCCAATGGAGAATGGTACCCTGGCTGTCAACATCTACCGCTGCTGGCACACTCAGCAAAATCACCTGGGCTGGAAAAGAACTTTCAGATCATCCAGTCCATCCACTCCCCCAGCTCTGCCAAGGCCACCCCTGCCCCATGTCCCTCAGCACCATCTCCAGGGCTTGGAAACCCCTCCAGGGATGGGGACTCCCCCCCTGCCCTGGGCAGCCTGGGCCAGGGCCTGACAACCCTTGCCAGCCAGGAATTGTTCCCCAGATCCAACCTCCACCTCCCCTGGCACAACTTGAGGCCGGTTCCTCTTGTCCCATCCCTTGTTCCTGGGGAGCAGAGCCCG